TTTTTTAAAAGTTGAATTCATTAGTTGATCTAAGCTAGACCACCATGGAAAACGCGGAAGCACTGGACGACCGTTTCGTTCTAGTATGGGACTGTCGGAAGCCGGTTCAGTAGTCTAGAGGTTGAAAGTTCTCGCTCTAGACCAAAAGTCCTAGGTTTGAGTTCCATATGTGGTGTCGTGGATGAGCACTGCTTAAGAGTTTCATACTAGGAATAAACGGTTGTCCAATATTTCCAGGTTTTCAATGATGATCTAGCTTACATCGACTCATGAATTCAACTATTAAAAAATATTTAATTTTGTAAAAACAAAAGTCCAGAGAGATATTCTTTCTTGGTACTTCAGAACTCGTCATTTGATGGTAGTTGCATAATTGGTTTTTATACTGCCTTGAAATATTATTATTATCAATAGTACTATTATTATTTTTACCACTGTTACAATTACTTCATTGTTGTATGAGTAAAGAGAGTTTTGAAGATCAATTGATCTGTTTTGTTGGTTTTGTCATGGATTAATAACATTTTGAGGTAGAGAAGGGTGTCAGTGAGATTATGCACTCATTAGTATCTATCGTTTCGGTGAAAAGCCATGATTAGTCGACTTCAATTGTGTCATTTGTGATGTAGTTACCCACCCATTGAGAGTTGAATGAGTTCCAATATGTGAATCTAAGTGATACCGTACTTTCATTAAGTACTGAGGATCTTGAGTTTTAATGTATGTTAATTGACAGGAAACCCTGTCCTATCTAAGTTTCATGCTAATTAACAATATTCAGTAGTAAAGATAAATCAATGAAATATTCTGATTTTAATAATTTAAGTATATAACCAATGGAATTGAGTATTGAAGTTCAATCAACGAATTATGTCCAGCGTTTTCAGTAAGATTTTGGTTCATTTAATCAGTGAATATAATTTCCAATAAAGATTTCATGATTATGATGATATGATCCTAATGTTCTAGAGGTTTATGGGAAATATAGTGAAATCACTAATAATTTAAGTGTTTCGTAGTGAACAAGAAGACGACTGGGGACAATTGAATAAATTAAATCACACAATACAGACTATCTCACTAAATTCTGATAACCATATAGTAAACACTTAAATTGCAAAATAACAATCAATTGTCTCAATCTTAACTGTTCCTTCTGCAAATATCAGTCCGTCTTCTTTGATTTAATTGTTCATGCATTTTCGTACCGATTGCGCTTCATTCCTGTTCTTTCCTTATCGATCTTCTGCCAAAAAACATTCTATGTCTGACCATCACTATATACTACTTATGTGGATATAATTAGACCGCACCACAGTTTGACCAATTAGATTAGAGAATAACACAAATTCATTACACTCTTGGTTTAATTACATATTTTTCAAATGTAATAATCAGTTAAAAGTAATTATGAGAACATTTTGTTTCCAGATCCTTCACAAGTTTTAATTGTATTTCCAGGAATTTGATTGAGTTAAACGATTTAGTAAACATATATTGTAAGTATAGAAAGAAAATAGATCTGTACAGAACAGTATTTTTCTTCTATTTGTACCATTCACAAAGTATCTAATGTATTTAATATTACCTAACCGAAATCGTTCATATTTCATCCGATGATAATACGTTGGAATAACTGATTTAATAAATTCATTATAATGACAGATTATAGACTATTCCTATATTCATACAGTATAATCATCAAAAGACAGCAATGTAAAGAGAAATCTATAACTGTGTAAAAAATGTTCTAGAAGCTATGAAAATGTTGAAAGTCTCTTTTAGGTAGTCCATGTTAATGGAAAGTTTTTGGTGAAATTTCGAAAATAGTATTCTTTACAGTCTTCCTAAATACCAATGTCACTTGTAATCCTATCAATGCTCTTTATTTTATGTACAAGAACTAAACTTAGAATAGAAACTTTCTTCACAACTCTCACTTTTGACTTCGCTAGAGTTTAAGGAGTTGAGGAGATCGAGAGTCTATAAATCGCCAAGAGACTAAGAATCTTAAACAGTTAGTGTACGAGTCTTAACATGAATCATTAATCAACAGACTAAATATGTATTAAAATTGTTAGTTATATGGTAAATATTAAACTTAAGTAGTAAGTAATTTAAAATAAAAAATTCTAAACCAAAGATAAAATTTAAAGGTTACAGAACAGTCAGTCAACTTTGTCTGTCATGTCTAGGCCGATGATGAGACTGTTATTCAACACTATTAAACGCCATCAATGTGAATGATCTTTATGAACTATGGTAATGTTAAAATGGAAACTAATTACTTCTAATTTCTAATTATACAATTGGTGTCGATCTCACGTTACATTCGATGATGAAGTTATAGAACACAAAAATGTAATACACTGCATGCATGTATGATTAAATAAAATAATGTAGAGGTGTAATAAATAAAGACTTAGATGAGGACAACCAATGTATTTGCAGGATATCTTGGTAAAATATGGGAACCCTAAACTAAATGCTTCGTTTTCAAATTTCCGTCATTTGTCTTTCATAATCTATATGGTCCATCCATTTCATAATTCCTTTCTATTTTACCTTTTTATTCTCTTCAACTCGATCTTCTTAGCCTTCTGCTGCCAACCATTCAACTTTTGGTTGGTGTTACATATTACTTATATCTATTGACATTTGTAGCATACACCACAGAAGTACATCGGAATAACTTGGACAATGTGAATGTAAATTTATAAATATAATTCAAAGTTGAAATCATGAGTCAATTGAAGCTAGACCACCATCGAAAACCTGGAAGCACTGGACGGTCGTTTCGTCCTATTATGGGACTCCTCAGTAGTGCGCACCCACGATCCCGCACTCGCGAGATTTAAACCCAGGACCTACCAGTTGTGAGATAACAACTCACTGAAGGCAATTGGTGAAGTGTCGCTCATAATTCGTGGATCAGTTGAAGTTAGACATTAACACCGTTGGATGCCAGCTCAGTGGTCTATCGGTTAAGGGCTCTGGCTCGTAACTGGTAGGTCCTGGGTTCGAATCTCGCGAGTGCGGGATCGTGGGTGTGCACTGCTGAGGAGTCCCATAATAGGACGAAACGACCGTCCAGTGCTTCCAGGTTTTCGATGGTGGTCTAGCTTCAATTGACTCATGATTTCAACTTTGAAATATACTGAAATCTCCACAAATCCCCTTCTGATTATGAATATAAATATAAAAATTATTATTCAGTTATGGTGAATCCAATCTTGAAGATTATTATCAAATGTTTTAGATATGTTTTAAGCATGGATCTCTTTAATAGCTTTCACAAATGAACAATAATCACTGACTTCTAGTAAAGTTTAGGGCTAGTAACTCTATGATTTCGTTTTTTTTTAAAGTGAGATAAAGAAAAAATACATATGACAAACTAAGAATTATTGTCAAATCAGTAAATAATGCCGTTAGTGTAATCTCATCAACTTTGTGGTGCGTCACAGTAGTTGTACAACACTCAATTTACAATGATTACTTTACCTAGAAAAGTTTAATTAGTCAAGCAGTATTAAGAATTTGTAATATATAATAATATATGCAATGTAGTGAGCAAGAACACTGGTGGGGACAATGGAATGTAATTTAGCACCACATTACAGAATGCCTCATTAAAATATGAGAACCATATAGTGAACAGTTAGTTTGTAAAATAACAATCAATTGTCTCAATTTGACTGTTTCTTCTGCGAATATTCATCCATAGTCTCCGATTATAATTGTTCATTCATTTTCGTAACAATTGCGTGCCGTTTCCGTTCTCTCCTTATCGATCTTCTACTGAAATACATTCAATGCTCGACCATCACCATATACTATTTATGTGGATATCAGTAACCTACACTACAGTATAGTCAAGTTTGATTTAGTACTTTAAACGAATAATCTGTTCAAATATTTGGGTTGTCTATTTTCCAATTATATAAATATTATAATAAAACTCCCTATTTCACATCGATATGAACTCACTGATTATGAATGTTAACTGCATGTGCATACATGTGATTATAGAAGGGTCACAATTAATTGCAATATTAAATGCCAGAATATTTAAACGGAAACATTACAGTTATTAGTATATTTCCCCCCCCCTTTCAGAAGCTGTAGATCAATGCATCGGCATTCATTTATTCAACACCTTATGAATAAAAAAAAGGAAGTTGTATCATTTCAACTGATAGTCACCTTTCTCCATTAAAGATGAGTGGACGGGACTATAATTTAAATGTATGTTAGAGAGGAATTCTTTGCAATATTGCATAACTCGTGTTGAGAACTACTTATTCTAATAAAAAATTTGTAGTTTTAAATAAAGCCATTATGTTATGTACTGCTGATGTCGACAGATATAAGTAGTATGTATCACTAATCAAGAGTGGAATGTCTGGAGGTAGATGGTTGGGAAAATTGAAAAGAAGAGAACGAGAACAGACAGTGATCGATATGGTAATGAAGAGACAATGAAGTTTGAGGCAATCGATTGATATTTTACAAATGAAGTATTTACTGTATGGTTCTCAGATTTTACTAAGAGATTATGTGATTTTTGTGCTCACATATATTTAGTCGTCTCCATCTGTATTCTTGTTCACTACACCATTATTACTATTACATAGTTTTAATAGGATTTGAGATCAGCTGAAAAAAATGACAAAACTTGGGACTAATAAAATAGGTAAATCTTCTGTTCTCATGGTGTGAACTCTATAAAACTCACATATGGTCTAACTCAGTACTAGAAATTTTTTATGGAGAATATAATGTTATTTCAGTATTGATTTAAAGTTTAATATACCACGTGTCCCCAATCGAACTTCATTCAATTTTACATTAAAACATAATCACATTATTCAATATCACCCAGTTGGTAAATATTCCATGTTAGATATGCTTGACATGATACTTTATTTGACTTTTGTGTGTTTATTTCAATGTTTCTTTTTTGAAAAGAAAACATTTACTCTCTCTTATTTGTATAGGTGAACGAGTTGTACGTGTTCGAAGACAAGATGATGGTGTCTTAGATGAAGATATCTCAGCAAGTGGTGGAGACGATGATATACCCGAAACTACTCCAATACCATCGGTATGTAAATAAAATTATTTCATTTTTTTTAAAGATGTTAATTATCCTAACAGTGGATAAGCTTTTTTCTTTCCAAACTATATAAGTCCTTTAAAATATACTTTAAGGTTGGTCTACTTTAAGTCAGTCAATGATGTAAACTACAAAATTCAACGATCTCTAAAATCCCCCTTACCGAAAAAACAAAAAGGTAAACCTATCGGTTTATATCGGTATAATGACTGCTGTCGTATTATAATCGGTGCGGATATATGTATGCGTGCATCTTATTTACTATATAAAACTTCATTGAATACTTCAGTCAACTTTTATGAATAAATTCCAAATTAATATAACTGTCTCTTTGGAATAGAATTAATGTCCGTGAATTTATAGGGTACCTGCTTCTCAATGTTTAATACATGTGAAATATCTGCCACTTCTCCGTTCATTTTGGTAAGTGAGTACTGGCATGTAAAAGTATAACTTTCACTGAAGATTTCATCGCCAAATCTAACATTTATATTATTTGTTTTTTTACATCTGTCAATTTGGGATCACCTACAGTGTCTTATTTTCATAGAAAACATATATTGATACATGATTAAAATGAAGTTCTCAATGAAAATGACACTACTATATCGAATACTGACATATAAAATGAAAGAGAAAATACATGAAAATGCTAGATATTACACCTTTATTGAACATTGAAAAAGGATGATCATCTTTACACGATTCTAATAAATCCTAAAGCAAACTGATCGGTTATATGATGACTGAATGTAAACAATTCTAACACTAACTATACTACTGAAATCTAGTTGTATACATAGAACATTATAATTTATCTAGGATAATTTATTTGAATGATATAATTCATAATAACCGTGTGATTTAGTTTGTTTTAAAATTATACAGCATTTTCACAAGTTTTTGTTTCAGTATTCTGACATCTTACCGTTGGTCACCATAAGTACACTCAGTGATCAACTAGATGTAACACATAAAAGTTTCATTACTGAAATATGATTATAATCAATACTTATATTGTAATGTGTGTGCTGCTTATGGAGACAGATATAAGTAGCATGTTGCAGCGATCAGAAGTGGAATGCCTACCAGCAGAAGATTGAATTGAAAAGGGCAAGAAGGAAAACAGATAACAATTGGAATAATAACAGAATCATGAAATATGTAAAAACAAAACTGCTGGAAGATGTGCAAATAATGTATTCAATTAATAGTTTTCATGCTTTGTGAAAACACTATGTAATACTGCATAAAACAATAGACTGATTTTCCCCACATGAGTCTACGTTCCTTACAATAACAACTAGGTTTACCGAAACTAATAGAAAGATTCTGAATCCCATTAAGATGAAGTACTAAAACTTCCACGACATAATTACGTTAATAAATCAATAATATCCAATAATAAATATTCATTTTTTGAAAGAATTTACTAAATATACAACAAACAATTAGAAAAAGGCAACGGTACAAGTGGATTGAAAACTCATTGCAGTCAAACCCTGATGAATAAAATGAAGTGAAATGAAACTCTATTACTGTTTAAGTCATTTTATTATGAGTTAGGACAACTTTCTGTGTTGAGAGATTCATAAACTTCAAATGTGATGTCAGAAAAACGTTCGTAATCAACTAAAAATTCATATACTTTAGTTCCACAAGACATCATTTGCAACCCGAATAGCTTGGGATCTTATCTCAAGGAGAGCATTGGTTCACTCAAGATTGCAGGTGTACCTTGCTATGAATGCCAGTTAGCATGAAGTCTAGATTGAGTTCGGTTTCCTACCAACTACCTTTCATCATGTAATATTGTAAAGGAAGACGTCGAATTAAAAACCGAACGCTACCAAAGTGTCTAACTTTGAATAAATATTAATAATTACAACATACATACCGAATTTACAGCAAATAAAATCTGTAGGCTTGTTTCATCTTTAATATCTAATTCTTAATTATATTTTTCAGTCGACCTTATGATGGAATATAAAACTTGTCAAGTGTTTGGAGGTAGTAAGAAGGGGGACCCTTCCCTACATAAGTTGCATGTTTTTTGGTATTCATCATAAAGACATACCTGTAGTATTGAAAGAAAGGATGCTCCAGTGCGAGATTCGGATTCGGATCATTCGGCTTCACAATCTGAGGCTGTTCGGATCACAGATAAGTCTGAAACTTGTATGTGTGCTAACTTATAACTTGAAAGCCGAATGCACCTGGTTTCTAAGGTTAATTATAGTAATAGCATACCTTGGATGACTAGAATTCCTTCTGTGCTATTTGAAAGAAGATCGAAAGTTTCACTATAATCTACTCATAAATTCACAGTGATTGTGTGTATAACATAAGTTAGCTCATAATGATATATTCTTCATAATGATATATTCTTCATAATGACAAAATCCTTCATCTACCACATGGGAAAAACATATTCATTTTAATATTTATCACATCCTTATAAATTAACGAAAATTATTTATATATTCATGCATGAAATATTGAACTATATATCCATTATTCATGTTTATCGCTTTCTTTTGCTTAATTTTCTTCAGAGTGTTAAAGGTCCTGGACCATTTTTACAACCAAATATAGTAACAGGTCCTCGAGGGGCTCCAGGTGAACCTGGTCCACCTGGACCATCAGGGCCTATTGGACCACCAGGAAAAATGGGTGAACCCGGGCCGTCGGGACCAGCTGGAGAAGATGGTGCACGTGGACCACCAGGTCCATCTGGTGACCCAGGAATCGACGGTAAACCAGGTATAGATGGTGAATCTGGTCTGCGTGGAACTCCAGGTCCACCAGGACCAGTTGGTCCAATGGGTTTAATTGGATCTACAGGTCCACCTGGTCCAATGGGTATACCTGGTCTTAAAGGTATAAAAGGTTCGCCAGGTATTGATGGACCAATGGTAAGTTAAATTTGTTACCATTAGTAACATATGTTAGGAGTAGATGTTTCATGCCATTAAGAATTTTACAATGTTGATAGTACGTCGCGTTATAAAAACAAACAAACAAAATATATATTATGGTTTCTAATACTGCAAGATATGCAATAAAAAAACTCTGATTTGATTTTAAACATATTTTAGATTAAGAAAAAAACTACAAAAACTCTGTATATATATTTAGTAGTTAAGACTTAAACCAATAATAAAAAGCTTGTTCTGTCATTAAAAACTGTTTGATGTCATTATGATACCTCGCATATAATACTCTAACTTCTAATCTCTTTGATCAAACAACCCACGATACCTTAATCTTTAGTAAATTCATAGTCAAGTCTAAAAACGGTTTTAAATGAGATTTACAAAATGTGATATTTGAGTAATTCAGCATAGATTTTAATTTGGTGATATGATTTTCTAATGAATACAAGTTTTAAATCCCTACAATATCGACTTATTATCTCTGTATGTTTGATGCAATCATTCTCTCGTTCTTTAGTTATCTCAGAACACTGACAATGTGTATAAAACAACGGGAACAATCATTCAAAGATTTGAAATAGAGTTTTACTGATGTCATCAAAACAGAAGTTTCATGGTTTTTTGAAATTATTGTAGTGTTCATGTTCCGTGCTACTACGTTTTCGTAGAAGCATTTTTAACTTTTATAGTCATCAAGTTTGTAAACGTGGACGTATAACAAGTTTTCATACTTTTTTGAATAATAAATAAAATGTATTACAAGCCAGAAAAGCAAAATGAAACTAAGAACCAAATCTGCTTTCTTACAGATCATTCAATGTTGGAGCTTTCTGAGGATAGCACGTTCTTTATGTAAGGATTTCCATGATAACTTGTTTTAATGCTCCATGAAGGCTTATAGGTTCACTTCGTAGCCAGTTGTTATTTACGTGATATATTTTCAAACTGTTGAATTACTATAAATTAACTTTAGAAAATATGTATATTTATATTTTAGGGTGAACGAGGTGAAGTTGGCCTTCCAGGTCCATTTGGTCCACCTGGACCTAAAGGACCAACTGGATTACCTGGTGCTCAAGGCCCAATTGGTCAAATGGGTACACAAGGACCGGATGGATTTCCTGGGCTTATAGGTTCTATGGGTCCTCAAGGACCTCCAGGACCTTCTGGAATGATTGGACCAGTTGGTTTAAAAGGTGATGAAGGACTTCAAGGTGCACCAGGTTCTCTTGGTGATCCTGGTGATCCAGGTTTAGATGGAAGTCCAGGGGCTGATGGTGAACCTGGACCGATGGTAACTTGTCTTTTGTTTTACGAATTACTAGTCTACTTCATTTTTAGACCCATAATATCCTTAACATATCTCTGTGAATTTTTCAATATTTTATTCAGTTAACCCATTCAATATAGCGTAGTTCCAGTACCGACCTACTCTCATTGTCATGTATTCCTAAGTTTTTTCTAGATTAGTTAGCTTATATCACCTATATTGAAAATAAAACACCCAGCTTCCTGTTTTAGTTGGTAATCCACTCTGTACTAACCGATGAGTATAGTATAACTGCAGATTACAGGTATGTTGGTTATAGATGTCTTAATAGGTTACATGTGGTATCGCTGTTGAGTAACTGACATTGAGATTAAATGAAAAGTATTTGAAAAAACTGGACTGAGAAGCAGTAATAGATGAAGTAGTTTGGTTATATCTTGTACATGCTAGTTCATTGTCTATATCAAGGTACAATACAGCCAAAACTAGGGGTATTGTCGAAAGAAAGCTGTTCGTCTGAGTCGTGCTAAACGATGTAGACTTCCCGACTAAGGTTCTGGCCTCGAGTGAACTATGATTAAGAATCAAAGACAACACCTTCTGAGGTCTTATAATGTATTAGATATGTTGGCTCATTATTTTTTGAATCCTTCAACATGTTATTATTCCTCTCTCTTTTGTTTGTCTATTTTAATATCTTTCCATCTACGGTGATTTCCTGTTTTTCTTGTATTGTTGCAATGTCGGCTAACTTAAACCGATATAAATTAGTGTAAAAATTATTATATTAGAGGACATATCTGTCTCGTTATCAGTATGTCTAATCATGTTTTACTTCATTGGTATATTTGATCAATATGAATTTGAGGCAATGATTGTCAGTTGTTATCGTGGCCCAAATAATTATCAATTACTTACTACTGAGTAGCTCAAAGTTTAAAATATGAACTTTTCAGTGCTTCTTAGTATTCAGCGGTCGCTTATTTAGTGTTCGTTGCTGTAAAAACGTATTTTGATAAACCGTTCTAGATTTTCAATGGTTGATTATAAAATTGAAATTATTGATTATGGTGAAATAACTATGTTCAATGAAATAATCTAACATTGGATAAGTTCAATGATAAGCTACATTCCATTTTATCTAATCCACTCTAATAGTTTTTTCCGATCATTTCTTGTTGACATTTAGGGTCCTGCTGGTAAGGATGGACCGTCAGGATTGAAAGGTGAAAGAGGAATACCAGGCCCTATGGGACCTCAGGGAACTACCGGCCCAAGAGGATTGTCTGGGGGACCAGGTTCACAAGGGACTCCTGGTGAGAAAGGGGCTGAAGGAGCTCCAGGACCACAAGGACCTACAGGTCCAGCTGGACCAATGGGACCACCTGGAGAACCTGGTGATAGAGGGCTATTTGGTCCAATGGGAGATATAGGAAAGCCTGGTCCACGAGGTCCACCAGGTGAAACTGGACCTAAAGGAGATACAGGGCTGATTGGTGCTCAAGGAATGCCAGGAAATCCTGGATTAGATGGACTACCTGGAATGCCTGGAGAAGCTGGTAATGATGGAGAAATGGGTAGACAAGGTATGCCCGGTCCACCGGGATTACCTGGACCATCCGGAAGAGATGGTGAACCTGGTCCTAGGGGTTTTCCAGGTTCCAAGGGTCAAGATGGCTCCCAAGGTGTACGTGGCGTGATAGGACCAAGAGGCCCTTCAGGAAAAGATGGGGATGACGGTGAAATGGGTGCGGCAGGACCTCCAGGACCTGCAGGACCTCCTGGCCCATCTGGACCACCGGTAAGAAATACTTTTCACACATTACGTAATAGAATATAACTCACTTTAATGTATACTTAATCTATCAATGATAGACTTGTATTACAGATCCTAGTAACTTAGAAACCAACAGTTTAAATACAGTAAGACGGAGATTTTGATTCAACGTTCGAAATCACGTTCATACGACAATATTCCTTAAAGTTAAATAACGATGCAGTTACCTGATGTAATATTAAGAAATCATGTGGAGAAGGAATGTCCGAAAAGTTTTAAGAAATTAGATAAATGAAAATAATAGGCGAATGATTTACATTTACACCTGAACTCACTACTGATTATTTCATTAATTTAACTCGCAAAAGTTTAAAAATTCTTATTATCTGATTTACCTCTTAGTTACATAACTAGTTATGATTTATAAAATTGGACACATGATATTGACTTCTGACAAGAACTTATCCGTATATACAACATTTACGATCTAGAATCGAAAATTTCATATATTTTCATACTGCCATAAAACAGAATGACGACGTACAACGACTGTTAGGTGGTTGAGGGATGTAGTCTGGAAACCTTGTTCTATCTACTTTTTATGTTAAATTGTTCTTGTCAGTAAAGGGTACCTTCAGTCTTGTGGAAGCTGAAGGTCCCTGTAAGGTTTAAACCCCAGCTACCAAATTTCATTGTCTGAGGTTCTGCTAATTAGCTTCTTGAGTGGGGTGACCTCTTGCAGAACTGAAATATCTACATCGATTGGTCATCAGAGCGGTTCTATGAAGATGTTATAAATGAGTTTTAGATAAATTTTTTATCATACGATGATGTGAATAAGAAAACTGTTCGAAATTAAAAAGTATTAGACGATTGTTTCACACTAATTTAAGATTATTCATCACATTGCATGCCTTTGATTTTACATGAAATCCAACGTAAAATCATAAAAGTCTTACAGTCAGCATCGTAACACTGAGCTACTGAGTTGATATTTACATTAGTTATCAATGAAGATTTCCATAATATTAAACACAAAGCCTAAAAGAGTACCGTGGTAAATACTACTACTACCACTAATAATAATAATAATAATAATAATAATAATAATAATAGCCCTACTCCAAATAGTTATCCTTGCTTTTAAATTGGCTTATTTAGACTATGGCAGACGGGAAACCATCATTAGACGTAGTTAACTGGGTTATAATTCCAACAGATTATTGATACCACTGAATGGGAATCGGGTCATACTATTATCATACGACCGTAGTTTAAAAATGTGGATCAGTATGTTCCTGTTTTCAATGGTCCACAGATAACGCACCATGAAACTTACTGGTCCATGTTCAATATAATGAAGCCGTTTCATGAAAAAAACAGCTTTTCTACTTTCTTCCTTCCTTACGCCTGTTATAGATGTGGAGGAGTATAGGTCGCCCACTAGGATTCCTCAATCTACTCATTTTTCAGTCAAGCCTTTTCAGTTGTTTCCCATTGCTACTCATTTCTTTCTCGTCTGCCTCCAGTTCCTGACACAGTGTGTTCTTTGGTTTATGTTTTCCTTTTGCCTTCAGGATTCCAAGCTATTGCTTGCCTCGTTTTTCAGTTTGATGATTTCCGTAATGTATGTCCTATCCATTTCCAACGTCTTTTCCTAGTTTCCTCTTCAGCTGGAAGCTGGTTTTTCCTCTCCCGTAAAATTTTGTTGCTGATGGTACCTGGCTAGCGAATATTGAGTATTTTGCGCAGACAACTGTTTATAAATACGTGTTAGTTGTAGTAGTTCTTAAAGTTTCGGCTCCGTACAGTTACTTACTTATTTACTTACTTACTTACTTATTTACTTACTTACTTACTTACTTACTTACTTAATTACTTACTTACTTACTTACTTACTTACTTACTTACTTAATTACTTAATTACTTACTTACTTACTTACTTACTTACTTACTTACTTACTTACTTAATTACTTACTTACTTACTTACTTACTTACTTACTTACTTAATTACTTACTTACTTACTTACTTACTTACTTACTTACTTACTTACTTACTTACTTAATTACTTAATTACTTACTTACTTACTTACTTACTTACTTACTTACTTACTTACTTACTTACTTACTTACTTACTTACTTACTTACTTACTTACTTACTTACTTACTTACTTACTTACTTACTTACTTACTTACTTACTTACTTACTTACTTACTTACTTACTTACTTACTTACTTACTTACTTACTTACTTACTTACTTACTTACTTACGCCTGTTACCCCATGTGGAGGAGCATAGGCCGCTCACCAGCATTCTCCATCCAACTCTGTCCTGAGCCTTCCTTTCCAGTTCTTTCCAGTTACTATTCAGCCTTTTCATATCGGCTTCTATTTCCCGGCGTAGTGTGTTCTTTGGCCTTCCTCTTTTCCGCTTCCCTTCCGGATTCCAAGTTAGGGATTGAGTCGTGATGCACATTGGTGATTTCCTTAATGTATGTCCGATCCACTTCCAACGTTTTTTCCTAATTTCCTCTTCAGCTGGAAGCTGATTTGTCCTCTCCCATAAAACGCTGTTGCTGATAGTATCCGGCCAGTGGATGTTGAGTATTTTGCGTAGACAACTGTTTATAAATACTTGTACCTTCCTGATGATGGCCGTAGTACTTCTTCACGTTTCAGCTCCATATAGTAGGACTGTCTTGACGTTCGCATTAAAGATTCTCACCTTGAAATGAGTTGAGAGTTGTTTTGAGTTCCATATGTTCTTCAATTGTAGAAATGCTGCCCTTGCTTTGCCAATCCTCGCCTTTACATCTGCATCCGATCCCCCCCTTGTTTATCAACGATGCTCCCCAGGTACTTGAATGTTTCCACCTCTTCCAGAGTTTCGCCGCCAAGTGTGATTGGGTTGGTGTTCTCCGTGTTGCATTTGAGAATCTTGCTTTTTCCTTTGTGAATTGGGAGGCCTATCGATGTAGAGGCTGCTGCTACATTTGCTGTCTTCATCTGCATTTGGTCGTGTGTATGAGAGAGGAGGGCTAGGTCATCTGCGAAGTCCAAATCATCTAATTGATTCTGAGAAGTCCATTGTATTCCGTATTTCCCTTCAGATGTCGAATTCTTCATAATCCAGTCAATCACTAGAAGGAAGAGGAATGGGGAGAGTAGACAGCCTTGTCTGGCTCCGGTCCTTACTGGAAATGCATCTGTCAGCTGTCCTCCATGCATGACTTTGCACTGTAGTCCATCGTATGAGTTTTGGATAATGTTGACAATCTTTTCAGGAACTCCATAGTGTCGAAGAAGTTTCCATAATGTTCTCCTGTCCACGCTGTCAAACACCTTCTCATAGTCAATGAAGTTGATGTATAGTGATGAGTTCCACTCAACTGATTGTTCAACGATGATCCGTAGTGTCGCAATCTGGTCTGTGCACGACCGATCCTTACGGAATCCAGCCTGTTGATCCCTAATTTGGCGTCTACTGCGTCTTTCATCCGATTCAGCAGCATTCTGTTGAAAACTTTTCCTGGTACTGATAACAAACTGATACCTCTGTAGTTCTCACATTGGCTCAGATCTCCTTTCTTTGGTATCTTGATGAGATATCCTTCTTTCCAGTCCGTTGGCACTTGTTCCTCTTCCCAAATCTTCTTGAATAGAAGGTGAAGCATGTTTGCAGTTATTTCAATGTCTGACTTCAGTGCTTCTGCTGGTATATTGTCAGGTCCTGCCGCCTTCCCACTTTTGATTTGTCTGATGGCCATCTTGACTTCTTCGATCGTTGGTGTAGTGACATCTATTGGAAGGTCTGTGTGGGCTGCTTCGATGTTCGGTGGATTCAATGGGGCTGGTCTATTCAGCAGTTCCTCGAAGTATTCTGCCCATCTTTTCCTCTGTTCTTGAATCTCAGTGATTGTCTTTCCTTCTTTATCTTTGACTGGTCTCTCTGGTTTGCTATATCTCCCTGCCAATTTCTTCGTTGTATCATATAGTTGTTTCATATTCCCTTCTCTTGCAGCTTTTTCCGCCGTCGTTGCTAGCTCTCCCATGTATTTCTGCTTGTCGGCTTTAATGCTTTTCTTCACTTGCTTGTTTGCTTCTGCGTAGTCTGCTTGTGCTTTGACTTTCTCTGCTCGTGTTCGGCTGTTGTTAATTGCTAGTCTCTTGTTCTTCCTTTCTTGAATTTTGTCCAGGGTTCCCAGAGAGATCCATTCCTTGTGATGATGCTTCTTAGGACCAAGAACCTGCTGACACGTTGAAGTTAGTGCTTCTTTTATCCCTTTCCAGTTGTCCTCCAAAGTAGTTTCTTGTTCTTTCAGTAGATCCTGTAGAGCTTGGAACCTGTTGTTGAGAGTTATCTTGAATTCATGGAGCTTGTCAGCATCTCGAAGGAAGGCTGTATTGAACCTTTGTAGTGCTGTTTGTCCAGTTTTCCAGTGTTTCTTAAGCTTCAGTCTCATTTTGGCCACAACCAGGTGGTGATCTGAAGCTATGTCAGCTCCTCTCCGGATTCTCACATCTTCCATTGATCTTCGGAATTTTTTGTTGATACAGATGTGATCTATCTGGTTCTCTGAAGTGTGGTCCGGTGAGATCCATGTAGCTTTGTGTATGCGTTTGTGTGGGAATATTGTGCCGCCTATAACCAATTTGTTGAAAGCACATAGGTTTGCAAGTCTCTCCCCATTTTTATTTTTCTCTCCTAGTCCATGTCGTCCGATTATATCTTCATATCCTGTGTTGTGCACTCCAACTTTTGCATTTAGATCTCCCATCAGGATGGTGAGGTCCTTTCGTGAGCACTTTGCTACAATTGATTGCAGCCTTTCATAGAACTGATCTTTATCATCGTCGTTACTATCATTGGTGGGTGCATAACATTGGATAACGTTCATTGTGATCCCCTCCTTCTTTGTTCTGAATGATGCTTTGATTATCCTGGGTCCATGAGATTCCCATCCCACAAGTGCATTTCGTGCTTCTTTGGACAGCATTAGAGCAACTCCCTGAGTGTTTGGAGCATTTTCCCCTTCGTGACCGGAGTACAGCAGCATCTCTCCTGTACCTAGCCTTTGTTGTCCAGTTTGTGTCCAATGGGTTTCGCTGATTCCGAGCACTGCCAAGTTGTATCTCCTCATTTCCATTACTAATTGGCTGGTCTTTCCTGTCTCCCACATTTTCCGGACGTTCCATGTACCTATAAAGAGTGTTGCTCTGGTTGTTAGAAGGTGCATCGGTCTCGTGACTTCCGAAGAACTTCGGCTTTCATCATGAGACGTCACAATTATTCCTTCAACTCCCAGGTCATAATTTAAATGGTTTGAATTATTTTTTTCTGGTTAGCGTTTTTTTAGCGAGTTAGCTTTTCTACGGGATGGGGTCGCTAACCCCATGCCCAATCCTCCTCCTTTACCCGGGCTTGGGACCGGCAGTAACTCTAGAAGAGCTACAGGCGGAGTTGGCTCCGTACAGTAAAACCGTATTAATGCTGGTATTGAAGATTCACATTTTGATGTTGGATTTCAGACAGTTGTTTTGAGTTCCATATTTTTTTGGAACTGTATGAATACTTTCCTTGTTTTGACGATCAGTGCCTTTACGTCTGCATCAGATCCTCCTTGTTCATTGATCATGCTGCTGTCCAGGTACGTGAAAGATTCCACTTGTTCGAAAGCTCCTCCATCAAGTGTGATTTGAATGGTGCTCTCTGTAATGTATTTTCTCATTGTAAACGTTGAGGCGTACTGTTTCAGAGGTTGCTGTTACTTAAGCTGTATCCAACTGCATTTGTTGATGTGTATAGGATATAAGAGCCACCTTATCTGCAAAATCCGAATCGTTTAGTTGCATCCGATCTGTCTATCGTATTCTTTGCATCCCTTGAGATATGGTATTTGCGATCTAATCAACAACTAGAAGAAAGATGAAAGGCCCGAGTAAGCAGTTTTATATGACACCAATCTTCACTTGAAACGCATATTTGAGCACCCCTCTTCGTTTCTTTATCTTCATACAACATCTTAAAAACATTATTACTTATAAGAGTTTGAGCTATCTGATTTTTGATATACAGGACCGAACTTTAAACAGTCTTATTTGGTAAAACTTAAGTCATTAACATCCATAAGGGGATGATTAAAACCTTTCTAACAATAATAATAATATATACACTATACTGGTTTGGTGAATTACTGACTATCTGGGTTCGGTAGCTAAGGATGTAAAGCATTAGTGTTTGAGGCTTAAGATACTGAGTTCAGGTTTTAGTGTGAACAGTAACACTGGGGCTCAGAAACATCTGGCTGATGATTACCAGATAGGCCAAAAAGTGCGTTCTGAATGCGTCTGATAGTAGAAATCCACACTCTTTGTAAGAGGGATTATTAAATTTTATAGTAGCTTAGCTGCTGAGTTGAAATTCAACAGAATACATTTTCTTCTAAATTAGTTAATTGTCAGTGATAAGTATTAATGACGATGGTTGATTTGGATGAATACGAATTGATTTTCAATCGAACAAATCGAACCGTAAAACATTGAACTAGAGTCAAGGAGGAAAAAAATAGTGAAAATTATGAGAAAGAACATTTCATCTGTACTGTATATTTTGCAAGTTTTTGTGTAAAGACATGGTCTATTGAGAAAGAAATAAAATGGTTGTACTTATCAGCTATTTTGATCCAAAAATCATATAAATTTGTTCTTTTTTCCCTTTTTCAAAAAGGGTTTACGTGGTGGTCGAGGCTCATCTGGTGAGCCAGGTGATCCAGGTCCTTCAGGTCCACAAGGTAGTCGTGGTGCAACTGGTGCTCGTGGACGTCGTGGGAAAGTTGGAGTAGCTGGTAGTCCTGGAAGTATTGGCGGTATCGGAGATAGAGGTCCACCCGGTCCAATTGGACCATCAGGCCAACCTGGTCCTATCGGACAACCAGGCCAACCAGGTGGTAAAGGTCCAACTGGAAGAGATGGAAAACAAGGTACAGATGGCAAGCCAGGAACTCAGGGGCAGGTTGGTTTGCCAGGTCCAATTGGTGAACGTGGTGCTGCTGGTGAAGATGGTGAACAAGGTTATCCAGGTGTACAAGGTCCCAAAGGTGAAGTTGGTTCACAAGGTATACCTGGACGTACTGGACCAGCTGTAAGTCATTAAATGTCGTAACATTAATTATTGTTTGACTAACAGTTTAAGTGAATTAGTTTTTGTACATTATAACTACATTTAATATGTATTTCTTACTGTAATCTTTATATAGCATAATAAATGATCATCGAGGTGTATCATTTTACTTTAACTAACTAGCTGTAATCACTTGATCAAACGGGAAATCAGTGTACTTGCAAACTGTTACATATTAAGTTTTCGGACTATATTCCGTCTTTGTTGGTTGTTTAGTACATAAAATTTGTGTAGTGACAAATAATTTCCCAAAATGAATAACTTTGTAGTCATTTTACGATAATACCCACCTTTTTAATATTGAAAGACACTACTAACCAAAGTTTCTCTTTGAATATTCAATCCATTTCACGTCACAGCCCATATAAGATATTTCTCCTCATCTTTTAGGTAGTTCGATTAATAGTCTCATGTTTATTTATCTCGGCCTACATTGTTACTTCTGTCCATTATCGTTTTATTTGTTTTTCTTCTAGGTAAAGTGTCTGATAGAAGGTGATATCAGATTCGTCGAATTATATTATATCAAGATATTTTTATGCGTTTTAAAGCTAGTCTCTATCAATAATTAAAATGAATTTTCAAAGTTCTTCTTATAACCTATAACTAATGAAGCCAAAAATGTTTACCATTCTATAGTCACCCACCAATAAGATTGAACATCGGTTGCACAATTTATTGCCAATTGGCTGAAAATGTGACATAACAGACCACGTCTAAATGTATCATTCTAGTTCTAGCGTTTCCTCCTTTGTGACCAGAATACAGTAATAGCTATCTTCAGGTTGCGTCCAGTGAGATTCGATGCACCGTTAGACTGTAACTCCTCGTTTCCACTTTTTATTTGAATGGTCTTCCAGATCTCCTACACTGTTCGGACATTCCGAGTACTTAAATCAATTATTGCCTAATTTTTTAAGAAAGCCCATCGGCCTGCTAACTTCCGAAAAATCTCGACTTTCACTAATAGGTGTCATAAACCTCCGCTCCTCACATATTTTGGTCTTATTTCTAATTAAATAAGATCCTTAAATAGATCGTTCTTAAATGAATGTTTGGTTAAAACAGATTTTTAGTGCCATTTTGGTTTGCTATAAATTTGTTTAAATTAACTTGATAATCGGTTATATATATAAACTGAAGTCATGAAGATGTTGTTTCACAAACGTCAGTGAATATTAATATTATCTCTTCAAAATTTTCCTTGTTTGTGATAATTTACTTGTTCTAACTCCAATTACATTGTTTAAAACATTCCAAGAAATATTCGATATTCCAGGCTTTTCAGCTGCTTTTTTGGTTTTAAAATTGTTTGACTTCACATATTCCTAACAGCTAATTTCGGAACTGACATAATCACTGTATTAGAAGAGAATCATAAGATGATCGTTCAGAAACTCTTGTTCAGTCGCTGTCTTGATGCATTATCCTATTGATCTTCCCTGAAATGTTTTCTTTAATGAGTTATCTCCATAGGCGATCCTCCATATTTTACTAAAGATCTGAAAGTGATTAGTTATTCTTATGTTTATTCAACAGATCATGTATACCTACTATTGCCTTTCCAGTTTTACTAACTTTCACACATACATTCTTTCTGCACAAAATAGGGTCCACCAGGAGTTCGAGGTGGTTCGGGTCAAATGGGTTTGAGAGGAACAAAAGGTCCACGTGGTCCACCTGGAGAAGATGGACCACCTGGGAAAGACAGTGCACCTGGTGAACCAGGACCACCGGGTGAACCAGGTCCACGAGGACCAATTCAAGTTCAAGGTTATGATAATGGTAAAGTTGTCGGTCCACAAGGAGCTAAGGGTTTACCAGGATATCCTGGACCACGTGGAAGACCAGGAATACCAGGTAAAAATTAATAAAATTAATCGATAACTACTTTTCTTAACGTCGAAATATGAATCTATGTGTTTTATTATAATTATAATAATAACAATGATGACAGCTATTATCATTATAAAACACTGAATTATTATTATCGGTTATTGGACATCGTCGGCTCCTCTTTCGAACTCATCTTTTTGCAGCCATTCCTATCAGATCAACTGTGTAGTCATTAACAAATTGGCTTAACTAATACATAAAACAGTTGTTTTAATTACTTGGCAATAAAACGCATCGATGACAGTAATAAATGGAAAAATACATTATTTCAAAGTTACAAGAAGATTAATAACAAATCATCTGAATTCAGACGTTTACGAATTCGAAGTAGAACTGACTAGACAGTTAAAAGAGGTAACGCCTAGAATTCGAATGACATACCGTGGTAAGTGAACTTCAACCATGTCTGGTATGAGGAGGTTAACCACTGATGTCAAGCACTACTTTGCAAATCAATTGGAGTACAGAATGTCAACCGTTGGACGCCAACTCAATGGTTTAGAGAATAAGTACAATACCTGAAGGTCTTGGATGCGTTCCTTTGTGGGATTGGAAGGGATTAGAGGTGCTAAGGAGTCCCATACTAGGGTTAATAGCTCTCAAATGATTCTCGGTTTTCAATGTTTGTCCGACCAAGATCATTCTACTTTGTGGATTATAAAATTAGTAGATCATTGGAAATTTATTTTGGACGGATTTTGTAAAGACTTTATATAACATCCAGATAAATAGCAGATATAAATAACATAAATATTGAAATCCAGAGAGAGAAGTCAATCAAGTGTTGGGTACCGAAAGGTAGGTTGAAAAAAAAGTTAAAAATGGAGAAGTCGAGATATAGTATTTGTTCATAAAGTCACTAATTTATGACCTGAACCAGATTGGTAGTTACTTACTCTCTGATTGATGACTTCACAATATACCACCAATCATTGAAAAATTTGAGTAATGTGAAGATAAATCGGTTCAAGTGTTACTGTTACATACTCATTCTCAATCTTATACTAAATATTAATTTAAGTGTGTATTCACAGCTTTCTGCCACCATCTAAATTAGTCCTTAAAAACTAAAAAAACATATTTCAAACTAAGGACACTATTACAGTTAAGTTTTGCTTGAACATATACTAAATACTTTAAATTGATTGACTATTTCTTTTTGACACTTATCTACCATTTCGAATTTCCTTTACAAAATATCAGGAGCTCCTGGTGATCCGGGACCTATTGGAGAAGCAGGAGTACCAGGTGAAGACGGTCCACCCGGTCCTGATGGTCCACGTGGAAAAGATGGGATTGATGGAGCACCTGGCCGACCAGGAAAATCAGGTAAACCTGGTCAGTCTGGAGCTGTTGGAGCCCAAGGACCACCTGGAAAACCTGGAGATGCTGGATATGCTGGTCCACCAGGACCATCAGGAATTCCTGGTCCTTCTGGTGAACCCGGTTTACCCGGAATAGATGGTATTAACGGAACTGCTGGTGCTCAAGGAGCTCCTGGCAATCCAGGTGCACAAGGAGCACGTGGTGCTGCCGGACCTCCAGGAATTGATGGTGCTAAAGGTCCACCTGGTGATGAAGGACCAACTGGTCCGAGAGGTCAAGCTGGTCCAAGAGGAACTCAAGGAAAAGATGGACTTCCTGGACTTCAAGTAATAATTTGCGTAAACTTTAATTCGTCTCTCTGGTTTATAACTTTGTTATGATGAAATATGGTAATTATGCAAATATTGATTGATTATTTACATAATAATGTAAATGATTTTACCGAATGACAATATTACAAATGATCTTGATTAAAGAAATAAATTTGATAATTAAAGAATTAAGAGGCTTTTAGAAGTTTCTTTTGTGTTCAGCAGATTGATGATGTTATAGTGTTGTTTTTAATAAAAGATAGGACCCAATGTCACTTCTGTGTAACTACTTTCATAGTCAAATATCAATAACAAACATGTGTTTTATTCTTCCATCATAACTAAACTGACATTTAAGCGGACCAATGACAATACTGTTTCACTGAATTATAATCTAATATATTGGGAAACCAGTAACAGATTAAACTAAATTCATAGACTATTCATAATTAATAAATGATAATGTATAGTTGTCAATTCATTGGCTCAGTCATTACTAAACATATCCTGAAAATATGTTAGAAAAGAATAAAGGATTATATATAAGCTCTAGACGATTGAACCTATAAAGGAACTCGTTACATTCTTAAATCCCGTAAATTTTTTCTATAAACCATTATGTCTCATTTACATTTTCAAATGAATATATACACAAATAGCTCTGTTCCAATTGGTCGTTTTAGGTTAAAAAATTGCTCAGTAACAATGCATTTTTTGATAGTCCTGACTAAAATACATAGCAGATGAACAATTAAAACCTTGAAAATTTAAACTTAGCAGAACTCAAAAATTATCATTAGTATATACAATTAAGTTTAATTAAAATGAGTTCATCTTATTCTTAATCATTGGCTACTGTTCCTTCTTATCATTTTTCTAGGGGAAAATGGGTGCTCCTGGAAGACCAGGGGCAAGAGGATCGGCCGGGGTTATGGGAGTTCCGGGACCACAAGGGAAGATTGGACCTCCAGGAAAAGAAGGACCAGAAGGACCGTCTGGTCCTGTTGGTCCACCTGGGCCACCAGGAACAGATGGGGAAGTAGGTGGTGCAGGGCCAGTGGGAGAAGCCGGGTCTCCAGGACAACAAGGTCTTCCTGGAGAACGCGGACTTCAGGGTCCAACAGGTCCCGGGGGAGAGCCAGGCCCACCAGGGCCTAGTGGTCCTTTAGGGATACCTGGACCAGACGGACCGAGTGGACCTAGAGGTGAAGTAGGTGATCCTGGTATAGATGGTGCGCCAGGGGGAAAAGGCGAAGATGGACAACCTGGACTGCCTGGACGACCTGGAAAGGATGGATCCCCGGGAAGGCAAGGGAAGTCTGGACCACAGGGCCATAAAGGTTGGACAGGCCCTCCAGGTGACCCGGGTCTTCCTGGCACAGCTGGACAACCTGGTCAACCAGGACTTCGAGGATATCGCGGACTTTCTGGCTTACCGGGAGAACTAGGACCTGTTGGTGCCCCGGGGCCTCAAGGTGAGGCTGGATTCGTCGGAGAACCTGGTCCTCCTGGTGGACCTGGACCTATTGGAAGAGATGGGCCACGAGGACCTCCTGGACATATGGGGAGTGAAGGACCACCTGGACCTCCTGGGCCTCCAGCTATGAGTTATGGAAAAATGTATGGAGATCAAAAAGGGATCACTTTAGAAATGCCCAATGGCACACGCAGTTTTCCAGCAAGATCATGTAATTATTTATCGCGTACACATCCAGGATTACCAGATGGTAAGCAAATTTTATTTATTAAATTATCTAACTTTTAAAACTTGTCCACCGGTTGATCATGAAGAACAGATACTAACTTCAAAGTTCGTTACTCAGTACTCTGCTATAACATCTAAATGGCAGTTATCAGACTAGTGTTTTCCAGAACGGAAATGAAAGCCTTGCAATTAAACCATATGCACTGAGATAATACAACATCACTAAAACAGACTAATGTATGATACTTTGTATGTCGTAGTTTCACTGAATACCATGTAAGCGAATGTTGATTTGAATTATATCTTTTAATAGATGACTGCTGTTCAAACTCCGTGTTATAACAAGTCTATATCTATTCAAATCTAAATATGAACACAATAGTGGATGCAAGAATTAACCCAATAAACGACACTAATACAAATACACTTCAACCATACTTGTAATAAGGACTCACTGATACTTGAACCTGTTCTCAACGATTAAGAAGACAAAAGAAAGAAAAAGATTTATCGTTTATTCCAGTCGAAAATTACATAAGGAAAATACTTGATTATTTGTTGAATCTTTTAGTATATCCTTGGAAATCAGCCATTAAGGATGCGAGTTTTACAGCTCCATTATAAATGTTACGCGCAAGGTTCAAACAATTTTGAGAAATAATCCATTTTTCAACACTTAGACTAACATTCAAGTAGTTATTGATAAAACCGAAAAAATGTCTTTATTCCTTCATCAATGAAGTTTCGTTTTATATCATAAGTCAGAAATTATATCAAGGCAGATTGAACATGAAATATTTAAAGACATTTCTAATTTTTGTCATATCTTAATCAAAACAAACAGTGTTACTAGCAAGGGTGTTAATGTTGCTGTTACTGATAATAAGGACTGAATGTTGATTACTCTTTGTTCGTAATACGTACATCCTAAGAAGATTGCCTCTATGTAGTCACTTTGTGTCAAGTTTTTAGAATAGATGGATTGCAGACGCGTGTTTATCCTATTTCGAACTCCTTAGATGGATGTATCTGCATTCCGGTGTTGATGTTCACTCAGATACGCAAACCTAGTGCTGATTACCTTAAATGCCGACGCACTATCCACTGATCTACTGAATTCATACACTCACTAAGTTATTAAACGGTTATGATATCTTTATCATTATTAGTAAAGGCTTCAGTTATCCCAGTCCTGAATATCGATAAGGGAATAATTTGAAATTTTACTAAAAAAATACAGATAAAATAATAAATGAATACAAGTGAAAAGTATACAGAATTATTCTCTGAATTCAATAATTTACTTTCCACTCTTTTCTCTCAGTAATACTGCGGTGTATGCTACTTATGTCTGTAGGAATAAGTAGTATGTAACACCAATCAGAAGTGGATTGGATGGCAGTAGAAGGTTGAGAAGATTGAATTGAAGAAAACAGGAATGTAAACAAAGATTAATTCTAATAACAACAGGAAGGAAGGGACGATTAAGCTTGTCAGAGACAAATGATGGCAGATGTGCAAATAAAGTAGTTAATGCATGGTTTTCATATTTTATGAAAACATTCTATAATTTCGTACTAAAACATTAACTAGTCGTCTCTACCTGATTGGTCGTTCACTGTATAGCAACTACAGTCGGTCGAAGCTTCTCTACGCTAAGTATTCTCTCCACCTGTTTCTCATTGCTTTGTTTTCTCTTTTATTTCTTCTTTATTCTAAGGTGAATATTGGATTGATCCTAATGGAGGTTCGAATAAAGATGCTGTTAAAGTATTCTGTCGATTGAACTCAGGTGAAACGTGTTTCTCGCCTTTAACTTCTTCTTATCAACAACATCAAAATAACAATACCGATATAAGCAAAAAGAAATATTCTGATCAAAAAGATATTTGGTTCAGTCAGTTATATGAAGAAAAACAGGTAAGAAATTAAATAATGTTTTTAGATGGTGACGAATAAAAACAAGTGCTCAATAGTGTTTAGTTTCGAAAGTTAGTTCCCAGAGTCCTAGCGTGTAGCTGTGACCAGGGGACTTTGAACATTTATTTTGTGAGGCAACTGCCCAGCATGACATTGGATAGTCCTCGATTTGCATCATGAACTGATTGGAGTTAGGAATGTAAACCATTGGATGTCAGTTCAATAATCAAAATGTTAGGTTCTTACTTTGAGACCTGAAGGTCTTGGATTTGATCCCCTACCAGACCATAAATGGGTACTTCTGTGGAACCTAATATCAGGATGAAGCATCCGTCTAATGCTTTGTTTTCAAATGATTGTCTAACTAAGGTCAGTTTATGATCTAAACTACAAAGAGATGAAACAGTCATCGAAAAAACATCCTTTTCAGTTTCAATCATTTATCCTCTTAATTGTATTAATTTAAAATTAAGATATAGGTTTTAATAGTTAATCGGTAACATCACTGCATTAATCATTTGACTAAGTTTAAATAGGTGGTATGTGAACAAAATAATAATTTGAAAATGGTTTTCATTGTGAAATAGTATCGCCTTCATGAGTCACAAGTAATTGGAGAATAAACAGGTATCAGTTTTGACTTAATCTGGAACTCCTTATCGGGTTGCATATACGATGCCGATGAGTATGGGACCCAGGATTTCTAGGTATTGTAGTAAATCCGTCGCCACTAGATTAGTGTTATAATCTTTCAATGTTATTATCTCTGGCGAATTCTTTGTTTTCTTAATGACTGAAATTCGTAGTTACGACTTCTCATTCGCAACTTCAAAGTTAGTCGCCAATGCGTGAATAAACTACGAATATTAGTCTGACTAGTTGATTTGCATCAGCTAAGAAACTATTAGAAACCATTATGACTTTAATTTAGTTTCGACTGTATGCAAAAGGTTGTTGTATATAACGTAAAACTATTAACTAGTCTCAGTTGAAAATCGGGTTTTATCTTTCGATATTTATTAATTACTGAATGGTAATCAATGTTATGTTCCTCTAGTCCTTAGAGGTGGTCAAATTCTATCAATGAAACTAATACCAAAAACCTAGGTCAGACAGAGCTGTTGTTCATTCTGGGACTCAAAATCAGTACCGTTCATCAACTTTGGGATGCAGGTACATCCAGATGACGAGTACCAAATAGGACGAGACGCGTATCCTGGATTCCAATGTTAACCACCAACCATCTTTGCTTACAATACTTGTGACTTAAAGTAATATCGAGGCAATCCTCATGGGATGCACATATGTCAATATGAGACCGATCAATTTCAGTCATAAACATTAATGAGAAGATTCAAACAAGCAATACGAAATGTATTTTATTGATTTACTTAAAATATCAATTTAATCATCATTGTCTCAATTCATAATAGTCTACAATAAGTTATTCAATGTTCAAATATTTTGTTCTATATTTGTTAAACTCTTATTTCATATATTTTAGTTTACCTATAATATGGAAATGAATCAGATCAACTTTTTACAACTGTTATCATCGAAAGCTAATCAACAATTAACATTGTTATGCCATAAGATTAGTTTCAATGATAAAAATCTGCCACGTTTATTTACAAATAATAATAAGGAATTAACACAAAATGGAGCGATTCTTCGTTATAATTTACTGGAAAACGATTGTCAGGTAATTAGTATTCATATTATTATTTATGGATATTGTCGAATTATTTGAAGATAGTGTACACTACGGATAAAATTTAATCAAAGAACAATTGAGAATAAACAAATACCAAAACAGTTGTTTCATCTTGGTATGAAACGCTTGTTATGGCCAGTGGAATTCGATAATGTTGGAAGTGAGATGGATATCATCAATCATAGTAAATGATGACATACAATATCAAAAACCTACTAGAGTTAAGAGCTACAACCACCAGATGGCATCTTGGTAGTTCTGTTAGCTCAGCCTTCTCTATGACATGTGAAGGTATTGGGTTTTATCCTTGGTGGGATTTTAGGTACTCACTGCTGAGGAACTCAGCACTAGCTGTTTAATCCTTCCTAGTTATTAGTGATTAAAGTTAATCCTTGATGTATGCAGATAATTTTCTTCACGAACTAAGTTACTCCATTCAATTCTCGGATAAATTTATTTATGGAAAAATATAATATCATATAAAACTGAACCTATAGAATTTGTATTTTCAGTGACAAGCATGCTATTACAGAGCTACTGTATTGGACAAAGTCAAGCGATTAACATTCTTCAACTTAAGTTAATCGCAAAGATTATTTTATTTAAGGAAGCTTTTATTCATCATTACATGATCATCTAGACCTTCATTATTTTTAAAGTCATCAATCATCAGTTTCACTACAATAATATGAAAAAAGACAATTCAAATATGATTCCAATTCAGTAGTTTTAAGATTCATCAACCATTCCGTGTACCAAGGATTCTGGATACAATCCCAAAAGTACACTAGACAGCAGTCGTATACAATAAGATGTAGCAAATATTCAGTGATGTATCCAGAAGAATTTAAACTGTGATTAGCTAGCAATGATGACGGACATACACCTTATGTGTCATGTTTGTCATGAACTAAATGTATATTCTAAATGACGTTGAACTTTATATTTGTACTATAAAAACGTTTATTCATCTAAACCTGGTTACAAATTAAAACTGTAGGACAAATGTGTCTGTCACTGTGTCATTCAACGAATGCCAAGTCATCACAATGTTTGTAATTTTTCCCTGAATTAAAATTTAGTTATTCAAACTTACCCTTTCCTATAAACACATCATTATAATATTCCGTTTGTTAACATAGTTATTTTTCCATTCTTTTTGAAAAAAAAACAACAACTAATAATTCAAAAGTCAACAAAGCCTACATTTGGAAAGATAACAATTGAAGTGGATACACGACCGCAACGTTTACCATTACGTGATATAATTTTACCGAATGGTATTGATTCACAACGAATTCTTGGTTTGGAATTGGGCAGAGTATGCTTCCAGTAGGAAAACACAACATTTATACTTGACAATACTGATAATACTGATTATGATTATGTTAATTTCTGTGTATGAGTCTTCTAAATTTCTATAAATTAATAAATAAAGTACAATGTATGAAGTATTATTATCATTGTTAGTACTAAATGCAACTGTCTATCCCACTGGCTACATCCCACGATTGATCAATCGCCACTAATGATTACATATCATTTATGTTGATAATGACTCGATAAGACAGATTAGTGATATCCACTTCACTCATCAGTGACATAATTGAACTGATTCATTTCAAAAAGTCAAATCAATTTTCATAGCACTTTAATTTACCGACTTTGATCTTAACTAATGAGTTATAGTTCTGTTTTTAGTTATTCAATCTAAAAGTTTGAGTATCGACAGACTACGTACTTCACCTTCAGTAATGTGGCCACTTATCTTAAGCCAATGAACATAATTCAATTCAGTAGACTAAGTAATATCTTCAGCCCTAACATGTAGGTTTACAGATGTTAAGTATTTCTAATAACTGTAAACAAATCTCTATGTTTTATTTACTATCAGCAACCTCGTAGCTTTAGATATCATACTATTTGTAAAAATTTTCATTTTCAACATTTTTTATGCATAATTCAAGCGTGCTACTCACGAGTAGCCACACACTTAGCATAGATAAAATTCTAATTTTTAAAGGGTTGTGCAAGATCATGGACCAATTGAAGTTAAACATTTAAACAGTTGGATACCAGTTCAGTGATCTACAGATTCGAATACCACCTGTGGGATCGTGAATGGGCACTGTTGAGGAGTCCCATGGTAAAACGAAACATATGTCCAATGCTTTCAGGTTTTCAGTGGTGGTTTGGCTTAAATCCACTAGTGAATTCAACTGTTAAAATACGTTAGAAGGCACAGTACCCCTGCAAACTAGTTAACTATTAGAGAGTGATTCCAATTTTCCAGATTTAGGTCATTTGTGATTTATCTTAAACCTTATTCTATTTCACTTATATTTTTCACGGTTAAGACAATGAATAATGAAGACTGATAGTTTGACAAATCAATAGAAAAAGTTATTTGCACACTAATGGTTAGCTTTAAAGCCAACTCCCAAACTTCTGACAGGAACTTATGACTATTGAAATCCAATTACATTGAAAGTGAAGCAAATATCTACCCTATCAATGATACTGGATGATGGAAATATTTTGCAGTTACCAATTATCCCTAGTAGCTAGGAAAACACCTTACCCAGTCAATATCCTTTTTGTAAGAAAATACTTAGAAACACCTTATCACGCTTTTCGTAAATCAGATTGAACAATTCCCAAAAGGTACTACTGACTTTCGAGTATTTTCTCCTTAAATTTTAAAATCCAAAGGTCACCTGTAATCCTATAATTCCCACTGTGTTTTTGTTTTCTTTTGTGTGTAACATCCATCTTCTGGTAAGTTTTCGTCCAGCCTGAAAGCACTTGGTGTGCTAAGGGAGTGTGAGGAATAGTAAGTCGGACTAACTGGAAGATTAAAGAACAAGAGAGAAAGTGAGATGGTAACTCGGTAAGAACATAGAATGCAATTACATTTAATAACGAAAGTAATCGATAACAGTCAGAAATAACATAAGCGTGAGATTAAAACAATCCGATAATCGAAACCAGAAATCGACAGCTTGACGTTTTTTTCTTCTTAATTCAAGAATCAGAGAATTTGTGTGTGATAATCTAGGAAGAGGCTAGGTGGTTAATAATTGGAACAATAAATGTACCAAACTCATCATTATGCTATAATTACGAATTACTTGAAGTCACTCATACAAGCTGTTGGGTTTTGACTTAATAATTTAGAGGTATCATACTTATATTGGGACATTAAGAATTTATTTCCATCCTACACACGCAGTGGTAGATGTGCACCAAATGAACTTAAATTAAACTAAACCGAAATTGTTATCTATTGTGTTTTCTAGTTGTAAAAATCAACTTCACTTAAGCACTGTCATTGATACAACCAATAGAAACGCTAATCGTCTACTCAGAGGTTTGAATGTTAAGCTCTCACCACAAGGCCAGAAGTTTCTGCATTCCCTCCGCATTATAAGCTGCGAATGGGCATTGTTGACGAGTTACAAAGTGGAATGAAATGGTGCTCCTCGGTTTTCAATGGTTTCCTAATTAAAGTCAGCAATACTCATCTAAAACTACAAAGAAAAGAAGTGGTCATGAATCGATCGTAATTCGCATAGAACTGCCACAGAGTATATTATAGCAAAGTTCTATCGATTCAACCTTATATGGTTACTACTTGTCTTCAATGTGACTGCAATTGTGAGTTACTATGTGCTAATGTTTGGGAGTAGTTAGATACAATACCTTTATATTTATACTAGAAGCATAAATTTGGATAAAGTACGGTTTTTGAGAGAGAAAAATGTAAATAGTGAGTACATAGTGCCACATTTTTCAACAAAGAAAAAGTCAATAAATTATCATCGCTACCATATACAACTAATTAGATTATTAACTAACCGAAAATAGAAAAAGTCGAATAAAGTGATAGAAAGAAAGAGAAAAACAAAAAAAGGAGATGGAATAAACCTGCTTACAGTTTGTATCACAGACTGACCATAGTTAGACAAGTATGGGAAAGACAGCATATCCCAAATAGCTATTTTGTTCCAGTATGATTTTCCTTATCACTGCGGATCCACAAACTCACTGGAAATTGAACGTATGACCGAGTCACGTGGGAGACGCTTGACCTTTTGACCACTGAGTCACCATCCAATATTTTACACGTCTAAGTTCAATCAAGGAGCAATTTTATACTAGGATGAAACGGCTTCCAGGTTGTCAACGGTTGTCTAAATAAGACAAGTAAATGATGTAACCTAAGAAATTGAACAATCTCGACAAACCCTGAGTATTAATAAATTGTTTTGAACAAGTGAAGAAAAAGAAGAAGAAAATGAAATATTATCATGCAGGAATGAAAACTTGTTTATAAGGATGAATGAACGAATAAATAAATAGCCAGTCCATAAATTACATTCAATTGTTTCAGTGAACAACAATAATAAGACTAGGTACAGTTTAATGAGTCAAAGATAAATTAAAAGTGCTAGGCTTATGGTAGAGTAATAATAATCCTCTATGCATACGATTCCACTAGATCATAAAAAGCGACAGTTAAATAACCTAACTTCTGAAGACTTTCAGGTATTTCAACCAAATGATTTCTATCATAATGGAATCTTTGAAGTAGTAGAAACAGAGATGAGGATAAGCATATTGTCACAAATATGAAGCATTTTGTAACGGGGATAAGATTGATCCATCTTGAATTTTCTCCGCTGAATTCACAAGTCAACCTGAGCTAGACAACCACTGAAGACCTAGAAGCACTTAATGACCGTTTCGTCCTAGTATGGGACTTCTCAGAAGTTCGCACCCACGACTCCGTGAGGGAGATTCGGATCCAGTACCTACGGTCTCGCGCGTGAACACTCAAACTCTACAACACTGAGCCAGTATCTAACCGCGTTATTTGTCTAACTTTAATCAATCCATGATCTTCCGCCACCCTACATCCATTATCTGAAGTGGATAACTGTATCCAATCGACACGGATTGGACTCCACTGGTAACGGCTTCTCACTAGAACTCCAGGAAATCCATCTTGAAGCTAGTCACTAGTGAGCACATGGTTATTATCAGTATGGGGATTGGTGAAGATTATAGTATTTTACATTCGAATTCGTAAAATAAACTTCGTTACCACATCAGTTTGAATGCTTATTCGATAGATTATGTTTAACAATATCGTAAAGTTAATAAACTGATCGGTGGAATTCGGCAATCATATTATAAAAGATTTGAAAATTCTTAGTTCGATAATATATACATAAAACAAATGGTGCTAATTGGTAATCAGGTCATGTGTATAGAGGTGGATGAACCTATTCTGATTATAGAAATTTATAGATCAATGAAGAATAAGATTTAACTACTAACCGTAAGAATCAGTAGTATCAAGAAACTGATAAGAAAAAATACATGACCCACTTTAGACATTGAAAATTTATGGTCTGATCACTCAGCACTCTAACATTTTCAGCATTAGTCACTTGGTGTTTGAACAGTGAGTGCACTGATAATCCTTTGAAGATATATATAATCAAACACTCACAATTTAGTTTTTTTTGCAGTTTGGGGTTGCGGAAAAATTTTCCACCTTCCTTAAAGTTAGAACAGGTCATCAAAAATCGAATTAGTCTTTTGCTTTCTTTTAAACCTCATCGCCGCTCACCAACTCATTAGGTTTAATGAGACCCTCAATATAAGTAAAATAATCAATACAGTCAATTATCACACTTCTTATAATTTGGAAAGATGTTAGCAGAGACCAGCCTTGAAGTAATATTCTGCCTTTTGTACTAATTGAAACTAATCCCTACGTGTCAAGAAAACCCTTCATTTTGTTAAAAATCAATTAGTAAGTCCTCTAATTAAGGTTACAAGCATACAGTCGGCTATCCATAGCAGTATAGGCGTAACTTTGTAATATTTGCTTAGTTTAAATTTTAAACAACCATATAACTCAAAAATTTACTTCATATTGTATGGTCAGTTAATGACAAATCTGTTGACTAAGCTACTGTCCATCAATGAGGAAAATGTTCTATGATTCAAAATAATGACTCGACTAGAGTAAATAAATTCACAATATGAGGGAAAGATATAGTTGGGCAAAGAGATGAAACTTTATTTTGATTCATGGGTTGCATGAATGCGGATGGCTTATACAAAATGTTTCTTAATAGTTGAATTTATGAACAGATTATAGCCAGTCCACCATGGAAAACCTGAAAGCACTGGATGGACGTTAAGTCCTAGTATGGGACTCATCAGCAGTGCTCATCCACGATTCCGCACACAAGACCGAAGGTTCTGGATTCAAGTCGTGTGTGCGGAATCGTGGATGAGCACTGCTGATGAGTCCCATACTAGGACTTAACGTCCATCCAGTGCTTTCAGGTTTTCCATGGTGGACTGGCTATAATCTGTTCATAAATTCAACTATTAAGAAACATTTTGTATAAGCCATCCGCATTCATGCAACCCAT